GAAGTAACCACCCAGTCGCTTACTCTGGCATCACTTTATTTAAATTTCTGCATTTTAATTTAGCACCTGCCAAGATCTGCCATTTATTTGTTCTCTTCTGTATTTACTGTCAGTGTCTCCCTCTAGAATCTAAGCCCGGTAAAAGCAGGGACCAGATCTTCCTTATTTCCCACCAGGTCGTCAGCGCCCGGCAGGACGGGCATGCATTTGATATTTGCTGCGTTGACAAAAAAGTCATGATCATGGGAATAACCCAACAGCCTGCACCCCGCAATGCAAGCATCTGAATTCTGAACATTCTAAACCCCCCGTACCCACAGCCAAGGGGCAGACTCGGCTTCCCCGTGCTTGAAGTCCACAGAACCATCCATGAAACATCCTTGCTACAAAGCCAATCCTGAGCCCAGTCAAGCCTGTAGACCCATTGCCAGGATTCAGGAAAAGAAAAGGCAAGGCACCAAGTTAAAAGATGCCACAAGAAAAGGGCCAGATCCCGGGTGTGGGGCAGTCCATGGCCCTGGCAAGTCCACGGTTAGGCCTGAGGCTCTACGCATCTCCTAGGCTCCCCCGTGATACGATGCTCAGACCCAGACCACGCATGGAGGAGGGAGGGTCGGGGGGACACTCAAAATGGAGACACTACCAGGGACACAGTACTGTCCTGGGGTTGCCATAACAAAGTACCACAAGCCGGGCAGCTTACAACCATGGGAGGTATGCTCTCCCAGCTCTGGAGACCCAGAAGTCCGAAATCAGGGTGTAGGCAGGGCCACGTACCCTCTGGAGGCCCCAGGGGATGGTCCTTCCAGCCTCCTCCAGCTCCTGGGGGTGGTAAGCAGCAACCCTTTGGGCCCCCAAGCCTGTGGCAGCATCTGCAACCTCTGCCTCTCTCCTCACGTGGCTTCTCCCTGTCTGTGTCATTTCCCTCTTCTGACGACGACACCAGCCTACTCCAAGATGACCTCATTTTAACTTGATTATGTCTACAAAGACCCTATTTCTAAAGAAGCCTGCATTTGCAGGTGCCCATGGACATGAATTCAGCAGGGGACACTACTCAACTCAGCCCTGGGAGAGACGGGACAGGAAGTATTGGGGACAGTTGTAAAGGGAACAGACAGAACCAAATGCAAACGCATTAACTTCCAGGGTCCTGGTCCCAAAAAGCCAATCGAGGGGGTGTGAATCCTGCCCGATATTCGATGACATTTTGGAATCTCTGGTGATTTCTCAGACGGAACAATGAGCTGTGGGTAAGATGACCGCTTTCTTGGGAGACCGTGCGGAAGCATTCAACAGTCAGTGTCATCAGGGGGAGCTTACTCTACTGGTTCGCCGAAAAGCACACACAGGGGTAGACATTTGCGTAGAGAAGGTAAAATGTTTACAGTCGTAGGTAGAGATACACAGGTGCTCTATTCGTCCGACTCTTCCGTCTGTTTGAAAGGTTCACAATAAAGCACCAGGATAAAAGAAGGTCCCTCGCTTTACACCCCATCCCGAGTCCCACAGTCTCCCATCGAATCCTGCGGTCTGGCTGGGCGCGGCCCCTTTCCAGATACCCCTTCCCCGCGCCCCCCACCTTGGCCAAGGCATCTGCAGGTTCCGACCCGGCGGTCAGCGAAGACGCTTTTTAACGGTGGTCCGGGGGATAGGATGAGCCCACCGAAGCCCTCCCCCCACCGACTCCTCTAGCAATACCAATGGAGAGGGAGAATGTTTCACCTGCGCATGCGTGTTCTCCACCCACCTGCCGCCCTCTCCCCGCCCCTCCCCACGTGACGCCGTGGGAACCCTGACCCCAGCACCGCCCCATTGGGGGCGGCCAGCGCCGCGCAGGCTGGAGATGGGGGTCCAGGGTGGTGGGGAGAGGAGTAAGGATAGAGAAGAGAGACCTGGCTCTCAGGGTCGAAGAGAAGGGGGAAGGGGAGCCCCAACCTAGGAGTCCGGGGAAGATGTAATCCCAGGGATCCCGGCCGGCGCACTCACCCGCACGATGTAGGAGACCCCGGGCCCCAGGACCCTGGCGTCTGGGTGTAACCAGCCGTGCGCCGGCTTGTGGATGAAGCTGCCTTTGCGGATCCACTCGTCGGCGGCGGCGTCCGGGGGCCCGGCCACCCCCCG